CCCTTCCCTAAGGCACCCTGGTGTTCCTTCAGCCCCACCAACACTCCACTCCTAACCCCAAGCTCCTGGGTGCGTCTCCTACTGCCACACAGCAGCTGGCTGGGTGGATGGTAACAGGGAATCACTGTCCAACCACCCCAAGGGGAACCACCCTCCCTTTCTCTACCACTAACCCACTCCAGTGGCGCTATCCTGCTCAGAAATCACCCAGACAGTTCCGTTGATGTGGCGCCTCTACCCCAATGGGGTGGGGCATGGCTGCCTGGGCCCCGCCTCCGCCTCTGAGGAGGTAGGTCCTAACCTTCCCACCAGCAGCCCACAGGGGTCTGTGGCCCCCGTGGGTGGTAGGCTCTCCCCTCGCACAGTGGGCACGCAGCACCTGCTCCCCATTCCCCGGAGTCTTGTCCCCTCTATCCTCCTCTCCTTCCCCTTCCTTTCTCCCCCTGCACCTGGCCTCCAACAGCTCACCTCCCCCTTTGCCTCCTTCCCATCCCTGTTCCTTCCTCGTCTCTGGCCACCTCCCCTCCCACCTCCAGGTGCTCTATCCATCACGCCTCCCTCTCTGGTCACTTTCTCCACTTCTGTACCCTCTAAATCCACCCCACCCCCCATCGCTTGGTCTCCCTCCCTCCTCCTCTCCCTGTCTCTGCACCTCCTCCTTCTCTTTCTCCCATCTCTGTCTTCTCGCCATTTCTTTTTTCTTTTTATGGCCGCACCACGCGCCACGTGGTATCTTAGTTCCCCGACCAGGGATGGAACCGCACCCCCTGCACTGGAAGCGTGGAGTCTTTAACCACTGGCCCGCCAGGGAAGTCCCCTTCCTCCCATTTCTAATCCGTTGCTCCTGGCCCCTCCCCCTGATGCCCTCCAACATTGGGCTTTGGTTTGGATCTTGCAGGAACTCAGTTCTGCCCCCCCAACTCCACACCTTCACGAGGCTCCCCTCACCCTCCCACTCAGCACGGGACCCTGGTGGGAGCAGGGGAGAGGGGAGCACAGTGCAGGGACCAGAGCACAAGGGGCAGGTGTCTGCCCAGGAGGAGGGAGTAGAGAGGGCCGGGGTCAGGATTTAGTAAGTTCCAGGTTTCAGGAACCCTCCCAGGCCCCAGCATGTGACTCCAGTTAGGGTCCAGATGGGGGACTCAGGCAGAGGATTTCTAGGGTCTGTCTTGGAAACTCTGTCAGGTCCAGGTCCTATGGAAATGAACACAAGGCTGCAAATACATGGCACTCGCTGCTTTCCTCCCTCCTTGGGCTGAGGCTGGCATGACAGGGAGACCACGCGCTTCCCCACTGAGCCTGCAGGGGCCTCATGCCCCCCCTCCACAATAGGCCAGGCAGCCAGTACCTGGAGACAGAAGCAGGCACACGAAATGAAGCCAACCGGCCGCCAAAATGGGGGCTGGAAGGGGCCGTCCACGCCCCAAGCCAGATGGCTCTACCACCGGGTCCCCAAGGCAGTGAGGGGAGGTCAGAAACACCTGCAGTCTCCTTCCTGTGCTCCCTGCAAGAAGAGAGATGTCCCCACGGTGGGAGGAGAGGGGGAGAGAAGACTTCATCTGCCCCACAGACACCTGCGCGCGCGCGCGCGCGCACACACACACACACACACACGCACACACACACACACACACACACTCATGCCTCGGCTCCAAGCGTGCCCACCGGGTTGCAGACCCTGGGCAAACCGCAAGGCAAGAGGTGGGCAGGGAGGAGGAAGAGGTGGGGAGAGGGTTACTAGGGCTGGGGATGGGGACAGGGGGTACCCTGTTGAGAGGTGACCTGCAAGTTCAAGTTATGCAGAAAAGTATCAAAGAGGCAAGACAGTCTCTGCCCTTGGCAGAAAGGGATGGGGGGACAGCACGAGAAGGGGCAGAGGGGCGACACATCCCCTAATTCCCTACTCATGGGCGCCTCTCCCCAACCCTGACAACAGGGCCAAGAAGTCTGTGCTGTACAAAACAGGCCGGGGTCAAGGGTCCAGTCACTGGTGAGCCATCCGAGCAGGGAGGAGGCCAGGCCAGCCCCAGAGCTACTTCCAGCCCCAGCTGCAGAGGCCAAGCGCCATCAAGACAGGAGTCCAAGCACTGCCTCCAGAGCCTGCCTGTCTTGGCTCAGAGTCCACGTGGACAGGGCCCCAGTCAGCATCTGACCAGAAGGCCCTGTGCTTTCTCCCTCGGTGCAGCTCAGACTCCTTTGGGAGAGCTGGGACCAGGCTGCAGCAGGAGCAGAGAGGCCCCAGGGAGGCCGGTGGCGCCTGGAGCTCTGTGACGAGATGATGAAACCACCATCAGCCAAAAAAAAAGATAGGAAAGAGTCCAGTCTGATGCCCTGGAGCAGTGTCTTGGATAAGTTTCTGCAGGAGGCGGGGACCAGAGGAGGCGAGGATAGAGCCAGGCAACAGCCCTCCGGACTGAGGGAGCCTGGTGGGGGAACCACGGCGTCTCCTTCCCCTGAAGACTCTGCAGGGCCCTGGCCAGACTGGAGGGGAAGAGGAGGCCAGGGACTGGGGGCTGTCTCCCTTAGGTCAGTTGAGGGAGGTGCAGACCCAGACCCTCCCAGGCTCTGCAGGGCCTCTCCCCTCCCTCAGGCTGCGTCCCAGCCCCAGCCTCTCTTCAAAGCCCGGAGCTCGCAGGCAGGTAGCAGGTGAGGTCAGTCCAAGATCGGGGTCTTCCCTCAGAGCGTGAATGGAGGGATGAGAGGGCAGGAGACAGGACAAGCTGAGGGCAGGTCAACTCCTGGGCTGTGATCCCGGCCTTCAGGGTCCCTGTGAGTGAGCGACGGGACAGGGGAGGACTCCCCATCCAGAGACATCACCCCCTGGCCGCAACACAGAGCTTACTGTAGAGCCCACAAAATCTAAGAGAGAGAGAGAGAATTGGAGAAAGTCAGAGGCCGCCCGGCACTGGGGCTCCGTCAGCCACTCCTCAGGGCAAAGCTGGGCAGAGGGGTGAGCTGCCCAGGTTCTGAAATGCAGCCAGCCCTGACTAGGCCTTGAGCCAGCCATTCCACCTCTCTGAGCCCCAATTTCCTCATCTGTAAAATGAACATAGCCTACTTCTTCAGAGTGATTCTGAGGGGTTAAAAAGATGTAAATAATGCCAGCCGAGGGCTTTGCACAGTGTTTGGCACATAGTAAATAGTGGAAATGACACCAAAGTATAGCTTACTTTTCTTCCAGAGGTCTTTGGCTCAGAACTGAATGGTGAGGCTCACTCACCTTGAGCTCCCAGTGAGGAAAGGAAATCCCCAGATGCTGAAGGAAGGCAAACTGGGGCTCCCTTATGTCACTTTTAACACTGAGCTGTTAGGGCGCTGTGGGGAGGAAGGAGAGGACACTGAGTGGGCCAACCTCACACCAGTCACAACCCCAAACTTCTTTGGAAAGGCCACGTGGCTGTCTTAGTCTTGCACTTCTGGAAGCTGCCACCAGAGGGCAGGCTCCGACCTCACACCAAAACCATAGAAACCACCAGGTGCCAGTGTCTCCAGGGACAGGAGCCTCAGAGAAGGACAGCTTAGCAGCCCAGGAGGGCCCTGAAAAGGGGACTGGCAGCACGGAAGAGCCTGGCCTTTGGACTTGGACCTCAAATCCTGGCTCCACCACTTAGGTAACCTTGGGCAAGTTACTGGACCTCTCCAGACCTCGGCTTTCTCATTTATAAAATGGTGGTCATGATGCCTGCCTGATGGGGAGCTGTGAGGAGTGACAGCTTTCGCTGAGCATTCACCACTGCCCCGTTAGAGGCACAGTGTTTCTTCCTTGCAGGACAGCCCTGTTAGGTGGTACCATTCTCACCATCCTCGTTTTCTGTTTTTTTTTTTCCTTTATTTTTTTCAGTTTTATTGAGATATAATTGACATACAGTACTACAGAAGTTGGAGGTGTAGAGCAGAATGACTTATATTTTGTGAAAGTATTAGCAAACAATTTTTTTCTAATTTAACAAACACTTTATATAGCAGTTGGTAACCTCCATTTAAAACATGTTAAATTTACCAAACATAACATTACCTGAAATGGGCTGTGAAACCCTCAATATTATTTGGTGCTCTGAAACTTTTTACATAAACCACAGTGGGGGAGTGCTGACTTATGAGACAAATTCTGCTCTTTTCTTCTTTCTCTTACTCCACTGTCACCTCCAAGACATGTTAGACTGGAGGCTGAGACCCCCTGCCATGGGGAGGCAGAGGAGGCGGCCTCATGGAGAACATGGACTGGGACAAGTGTCGGCAATAGATGCCTCTAAGATGTGAAACATCTGACTTGGATTAGGAGGCTTCTCAGGAGGATGAAATTAAAGGGTTGTTCTGAAGCTGGAGCGCCTCTCCCCATCCCTTGTCCCATCTTACGATGACAGTTCTGAGGGGTTGGTCTGGAATACGCATAGATGGTGGGGACTGGGGGACAGTGCAGGCCTGGACTGGGCTCAGGTGCGGTGAGTCAGGTAGAGTCTGGGTGTCAGTGCTTAGCACTGGGTCAGGTGTCCTTCCAGTCATCTGGTGTGCCTGTTTGTACCCAAGTCCAGTTGTACTTGGAAGAGGATGGAGACTGTGGACCACTCCATAGATCAGGTCTGAGTATCCTCGGGGGATAAAAAGGACCTGAGTCTTACTTTTTTTTTTCTTTTTTCACCACCCTCATTTTAGGTAGTGCAGGAAACTGAGGCTCAAAGAGGTGAATTCATTTCTTAGCTCAACCTGCTTCCAACACAGACAACCTGCCTTCACAGTCCAAGGGTATTCACACCACAATACTAGAGTAACTCCTGCCAAATGAGATAATAACCCTCACTATCCCCATTTTACAGATAAGAGGCTCCAAGAGATGAATGTAATTAAAGGAAAGTGATGAGCATACACCCAGCACACGCTAAGAGCTCAAGGAAGGGTGAGACGACGAAATCCGATTTCCCATGGCAGAAAACGGGCACCCAGACAGACGGGGTGTCTCCCCTTTCTCTAGGGGCAGCATGGGCCCCTGGGTCAGAGGACTGACCTTCCTTTAGAGAGCAATCTGGAATTATCACTACAATTGTGAGTGTGCAATTCCACTTCTGGAAAGACACCAAGAAAACAGAAGGCAAGGACAAAGATGGTCACTGTAGCATTGCCAGTAACAGTAAAAACCTGGGAACCTCCCTAACATCCCCTACAAGGAGAACAGTTAAGAAACTATAATTCCTTCGTCTTAGGTAATGCTAGGCATTGGATGAAAAGGACAAGATGGTTCTCCACAAAATGATAAAGATCTTTAAGACATGCTCTAGAGTTGAGCACAAAAAGCAATCTGAGGAGGGATTTGTTTTGGACGATGCCTCTCCTATAGTAGCACATAACACTACCATATATTTCACAAAGGGACATACGTAGATACACAGATAAGCATCTGATAACTGGTTATCCCTGAGACTCTGGCCTTAGGTGTCAATTTTTTCTTTATTGTATATTAATGTTACCTGATACATACGAAAGTTTATGTGTACTATACTAGGTATAAAGCATACTGCACCAAACATCTGTGGGCTCACCATGCAAGTACTTAACTCGCCAATAGTTTGTACACACCCACCTGTCCCCCACCTCATGTCCTTGCTTCCCTGCTTCCATCCCAGCTACAAAGAACCACCATGATACCTTTTGTATTGATCATTTCTTTGCTTTTTTAAAAAATACACAATATTACCATATATATATATATATATATATATATATATATATATATATTTAAACTGTATTTAGCATAGTGTTACTTAGTTTGTTAACTCAAAAAAATTATCTCACTGTCATCTTCTGGAATTCTATTTTTTCCCCTCTCTCTCAATAATATTATGTTTCCAGGATGTATCCATTCATTCCATTACATATAACACGTTCATTCATTTCCACAGTTGTAAACAATTCTGTGATGTGAATGTATCACCATATATTTATCCATCCTCCTGTCAATGGCCATTTAGGTGGTTTTTAGTGTTTGCTATTTTGCAACTGCAGCCAAGAGTATTCATACATTTCTCCTGGGTTTATACTCATGGGAGGGTTTGCTGGGTCAGGCGTGCCAATGTTCGGATTGGAGGGATAACCTCCAACTGTCTCCCAGAAGTCGGCCTCTCTGTTAAGGTTTCCACCTTGTGCTTCACTTGACTTTGAAGGTGCCCCGCCTGGTGGGGCCGGCCTCACCCACCTCTGCACCCCGCGACTGCCAGCCGCCCACCCGGAAGCGTGCGCCCACTCACCTTTGTTCTCCTGCTTGAGCTCCTCCTGCAGCAGGTCCGTTTGCCGGTTGCCCAGCACGAAGGCAAGGAAGGAGAGGATGAGGGCGTTGAGGATGCCGATGATGGCCAGGATGTATGCCCAGCGCACCGAACAGTCCCCCAGGGAGTACTTCCCGGTCTTGGCCCCACACATGTCCCGGATCGTCTCGGCGTCCCAGCCGTCGGGGAAGATCATGCAGCCCAGCACAAGGCACAGAGCTGAGGGGGTGCCAGGCCGAGCCCACCGCCAGGGTCAGGAAGGAAGAGAGAAGGGGAAGATTACTTCCCAGAGCCTGAGGACTACCAGGAGGCCCCCTGAGGCTGGGCCCCGCTCCCCCGCACCGCCCACCAACCCAAGAGCTTATGAAGCACCTCCTGTGGATCCAGAAACTCTAAACCCTGGGAGGGCCTCATGCCTTGGGGAGAGAAACTTTCCAAAACACAATGCCATCGCCTGCCCCCATCAAATCAACTCCTCCTCCGGGAAGGCTTCCTGGAAATAGGAGAAAATAGCAAACCAGGGTCACCTCCTTCAGCTCCCTTTAGCATCTTGGCCATGCTTACCCTCTCCCATCCTCACCATTCTTTATTTTTTATTTTTGTCATTTACTCAACAAATTTTTATTGAGAGCCATTTTCCGGGCTCAGTAGGCCACCTCCAGCTGTGACCTTCCCCTCCTGTCAGAGAGTTTATGACTATGTCCACTGGCTTTACGTTGCCTTTTTTAGTGCCTGACAGTCCGCCAGTGACTGGGTTACTGTGTCTGAGACCTGAGGTCACCACAAGGCTCAGGTTGGGGCAGAGGGGCCCTTGACCCCCCGCCAGGCCCACAGGTGCTTAACCTGGGTTTTAGATGACAGTGATGACAAAGTGGGAGTGGCGGTCAGTTCTGCCCACTGTCTAGGAGGCACATCTCGTTCGTTGCCAGGATGGGGAGCGGGACACCTGGCTTTGCCATCTCTTTCCCGCATCTACCGTACGAGGAAGTGCTCCCCACGGCACAGACTCTTCCCTGCCTCGAGTTCTGCCTCCTCTGGCCTCACTCCGACCTTCTAACAGGACAGTCCTTCCACACTCCCCTAGGGTGTGCTCCTTATACTGACACAGGGCGCCCCTGACAGCACTGTGATCTTACACACTCAAACACACACACACACACACACACACACACGTTGGAGCAGGCCTTCCTCCCCTCTCCAACGCGCTCGCCTAAGACAAATCTTAGCCCAAGTGAAAGACACCTCTAATAAATGGCTGGGGGAAAGAGCTCGTGGCAAAGGGAATGGCAAATGCAAAAAGGCCCTGAGGCAAGAATGAGCTTGGTGAGTTAAAGAATTCAACAAGTTTGAAGATGCCCTTTACATACCCAAATGGAGAAAGAAACTCAGGGAGAAATCAGGGCTGGGGATATAAATGTGGGAGCTGTGGGCACGTAAATCCCTGGGACTGGACGTTATGGAAACTGAAGAGAAGGCCCAGGACGGAGCCCAGGGGCGCTCTAGCAATTACGGGGTGGGAAGAGAGGAGGAGCCTACGGAGAGGGCTTGACCCAGCCACCTTCCCATATTTCCCTAACACTCTTCAGGACCCTCCAGGACCTGGGAGAAGGGAGGAGGGTCAAATGCCAGGGATGGGTGAGTGGGAGACGAGGCGCCTAAGTCCTTCACATCTGCAGGGTCCTTTGAGGAGGGGCGGGGGAGGCTGCACTCCCACCTCCCCGTCCTCGACCCTGAATCTCCAGCTTGAGGCAGGGGTGAGCAAAGAGCCTGGAAGGGGCAAAACCACCCAGTCCCTCCTTCTCCTCTCCCCGTACAGCGTTTCCTCTCCTGCCCAGAGCATCCCCGTCACCATGGAAACCGCAGCAGTAGCCTGCAGGTGGTCCTCCTCCCTCTGCAAGCTCAGCGTTCAAAGAGGTTTTCTCCCAGGGCTCTACGCCTGCACGTTCTCTCTGTCTCACTGCCTCATCACTTACGTTGTCTCTCTAGTCGTGTGTCTCAATTCCTTTCTCTTCTCCACCCTTTTCATCTTTTTTTGCCTCTCTCTCCACACCCCTCCCCCTCTCTCTCCAGCTAGTCTATACAGTGCTTAATCCTCAGTCTTGACCCTCCCTCTTCCCTTTTCTCCTTAGATCTCAGCATCTGACATTCATTCAACACCCCTCCTCTTCTCTCTGCCTTTTCTTGCTTGTCTTCCTTCCCTTTATCTATCCCCTCGCCCTTTCCTCTCTCTGCCTCTCCCTTCATATATTCCACAAATAAATTCTGAGTGTCTTCTATGTGTCAGGCACTATGCAGGGTGCTGGGGACACTGCCAGTCATGATTTCCTGTCCTCAGGAGCGGAGGTGTGTGAAGACGAATCAAATCAAATCAACACACAAATAGAATATTAATAAATGTCAGGGAGCGACTGGAAGGAGACCCAGGATGACAGGGCGCTCAGAGAAGGCGTTGGGGCG